TTGCCAGGGTAATGCCATCACCCTTTCGGCCGGCCAGCTTCGCTCACCAAAAAACTGCTCAGGGCTGAACACGCTGGGGATGCTTTAGCACCTCTGAAAGGTTTCCAATAGCTGTCGATACATCACGCCTGTTGTTCTGCGGACTCTCCCAAACGTGCCCGGCAGTGGCCTTGATAGCAACATGCCCCAGTTTGCCCTGGCAATCGTAAGCACGGTAGACGATGCCTCGGCCGCTTCCACATCGGTCAGGCACCAGGGCTGGTCATTTGTGCCGGAGTTGAGGCTTGAGCCCAGGCCACCCTCGCCCAAGCGAGCCTGAGTCTTTCAGCATGAAGCACACGGATCTACTATTGTGACAAACTCGTGCCGTTCTGGCGGAAGTGTTTGCCTTGTCTACACTTGAGATAAATGGGTGGACGAAAGGCAGCAGCAGCAGCAGCAAACCACCAAGCAGCAGCAGCAAAGCAGCAGCAAAGCAGCAGCAAAAAAGCTGCAGCAAAAAAGCAGCAGCAGCAGCAGCAAAAAAGCAGCAGCAAAAAAGCAGCAAAAAAAAGGCAGCAAAAAAGCAGCAGCAGCAAAAAAGCAGAAAAGCAGCAAAAAAGCAGCAGAACAGCAGCAAAAAAGCAGCAGCAAAAAAGCAGCAGCAGCAAAAAAGCAGCAGCAGCAAAAAAGCAGCAGCAGAAAAGCAGCAGAAAAGCAGCAGCAGCAGCAGCAAAGCAGCAGAAAAGCAGCAGCAGCAGCAGCAAAGCAGCAGCAGCAGCAGAAAAGCAGCAGCAGCAGCAGCAAAGCAGCAGCTGCAGGAGCAACAAACCAACGGCAGGCAGCAGCAAAGCAGCAGCAAAGCAGGACCAAGACCAACAGCAGGCAGCAGCAACAGCAAAACATCAGAAGCAGCAACAGCAGCAACAACAGCAAAGCAGCGGCAAAAGCAGTAAAGTATCAACAACAAGCCACAAGCCAACAGCAGGCAGCAGCAAAGCAGCTGCAAAAGCAGCAGCAAAGCAGCAGCAAGCAAACTGCAAAATCAACAGCGGCTACGCAACATGCACCAGCAAGCAGCAGCAAGGGCGGCAGTCCGCACGGCAGCAGCAGCAGCAGCAGCGAAACAGCGACACCGAAGCAGTAGCGCAGCCGCAGCTCTTACAGACGAGAGTTGGGCCCCCTCTGTGATGAAGAGTCGCCTCTCGTGACTCTTAATTAGGTCATGTGGGAGGATCCGGGTCCTAAGCTAAAGCTAATGAAACTCAAGGTTGCTGAAGCAACCTTTCGTGATCAGTTGGATGTGCACAAGGCAGTGAAAGGACATGAATGCAAACAACTGGCCTGATAGTTCCATCGCCCAATTCCAGAGGCAGGGTCCTCGGTTGCTGCCGGCATCGCAAAAACATGACATGTTGCGCACTTTTTCGGCGTGCCTTTGCAAATGGAAACGGACACGTCACAACTTGGCACCAATTGGACTTGACTTGCCACACTTGACCATCGCCAAACAACCCAGTGGCAGTGACATTCAAGATTCTGTGGACGAAAAGGCAGACCTCCTTCTAACAAGTTGCTTAGGCTTCCGAAACACAAGAACACACCTCGCTTCAGCGCCAGGCATAGCAGTCCGGGAGGATGTCAGAGTCACCCCTGGAGTGCCCATATATATGTTTATATTATGAGCAATTGGACATTCTGAATCATTATGATTTGGCCCTTAACAGTTCACTTGATCCAGCTTGAACCTTTCAAACTTGCCACCGGCACAGCTTGTCCGGAACCCACGCTCGTAGAACAGCCTTGGAGAATGGGTGCAATCATGACAAGCTTTCTATGTGGAAACTGGATTCATTGCTCTCAATTTCTCAGCACCGTGCTTCTTCTGGCTTTCCGTTGCCTTGTTCTCAAGGTGCAGAAATTGGAACTTCATTGACATCAAGAAAGGGAAGTGATGAAGTGGCCCCTTGAACATTGGGCATGAAGAGAGTCCTGTCTGGTAATATCACCGTGGACCGTGGCCACATCAGCAGCATGCTCACAAAGCCTGTGGTGCTCCGTATTACCGTATCTAGTTCATCCTGACCCTTAATACCTCGGACTGGCAACGCAGGAAGCCCTCAGTGGCCATCATCTGCTCCCACTCGCCTCGCCCAACTAAGGCTATAGGCTTCGGAGGCCAAGTACCCACACCTCTGTCGGGCCAATGGCGTGGCTCACCATGTCATGTACATGCAGTCGGTGGTAAACAACACAACTGTCCAACGCCACCACATCTCCATACCCCAACACCTCTGATCATTTCGCCACCCTTTATTCATATTGAGGTGTCAGCAAATGACGTGATCGCACCATCACCAGCCCTGCCTGTGTGCAAATAGAAGTGAAACAGGCTGGTCTCCAAGACCTCCGGAAAAGGCTTGCAAGCTTACGTCATCAAATAACTGCGAACCATCCATTTCAGTATATGACTTGTTGATTGGAATGTTCTTGTTCAGATTTGGATTTGTTGGAAGTGTGGCGCTAGTCATGTCACTGCTCTGCTCATGCTGCCTCATTTTGTCGGACTTGTCGGCTTTTGCTTCGCAATGGGACCACCTCAGCATTGGATGCAAACCTCCGGCCGAGTGTGCAACACGTGGGGTCTTTCGGGGGACTGGGTAAAGATCAGACTCAATCAATCATCATACTTGTTCCATTCATGTCAAAAGGGAAGGGTACAGAAACCGTCTTCACCCTGGGCCCGTTCGTGCATTGTTCCGAGAGTAGTTATCGATCCTTGGCGAAAAGGAAACACGCCACCCCGCCCAAATAGCAAAGTCGCATCTCTCAAAGCAAACCTCCTGGACATTCACTGAAGCCTTCAAGGATTTTCAGGGTTAGCATGTAGTGCCCACCAAGACGCCAAGACTTGGCCATCCTCCAAATGCTCCGGCCCAGAGCCTGAGAGAGATAGCGTCAACCTAGACTGGGCGAGTCCTCCGCCTAGACCTGTGCTGGTGTCCATGAATTATCCCGTCTTAAGGAGGACGGCTACTCACCCCATGTCACAGCTGACTAGAGCGACGCGATCAAAAGGCCTGAGACGTCCTCAAAAGGCCCGAAAAGGTCTTGATGGTCCCGCTGGCATCCCATGTTCTGCCCACATAAATGCGGAAAGATGGAAGAGTCTAAAGCCATCTTCCGTGGTTTACTTCCATTTCAACCTTAATTCTGGTGAGGTTTCGGGGGATGCGATTGGCATTCTCGGTCTGCAAACTCACCAGCTTGGTTGAGCTTGCGGTACAGCAAATTGGAAAAACGGGTGCCCTCGGAGCCTTCATGAACGAGGTTAAGTTCTTGCGACCGTCGTGTATGAGATGTAGGCAGGACAACACGGTTTGACAGCTTGGACTTGAACACCATGCAGTTCACGATTACTGCCCTTTGAGGCTCCATCACACTTTATCAACTCCGGTCAAGTCTGAGCTTGTGGTACAGTTCATCCTGTGCGCTTGTGAGTTCGGTTCCACATAGGAGCTTGACTGTCTGATGTTCACTTAGGTTTCTCGTTCTCTTGGCTCCCCGCATCTATATTTGTCGACACAGTAACACATCCGTCAAGGCACTGAGACGCCAAATATTGGCCAAGTCTGGCAGGCCATCGGGGCCCAGCCTGCCAAGCTTGGGCTGAAGCTGAAGCCTTCTGGAGAAAGACAATGTGTAAGCAAGCCAGGTTAAGTCAGGCTAGTCAGGCTTTAATTTAGCCACATTGGGCAGTGCTGTCAACATTCAAAAGGGCTAGGTTATACAATTAGTGGTGTATATATATATATGTGTGTGTGTGTGTGTGTGTCTGCATTGCCCCTTCAAGCGCAGTGAGCAGCAGTCTTGTGTGGATATGAAAACTGAGCAGCTTGCTTGCAGAGCCCAGTGCCGTTTTGCGACCTGCAGGCAGGAGGCAGGCTGCTCTCCAATCTTACGTGCATAAACCATTGAACAAAACAGCTTGCCAAGCGAAGAATGAGCAGCTTGACAGTTGGACGTGGAAGGTTCAAACCAATGTGAGGCCTCGCCTGTCACGAGCCAGCACACATGGCTCGCCTGCCCTTTCTGGAGACCTTGTCTAAGGTGAACAGAGGTCGCACAAATGGGCAAGTAAGTTGATCGGCTTCGAAGGAAGGTCAAAATTGGGTTCATTCTCTCAGAGCAGAGCCTATGTCATGTGGCATGCTATGTCGCGCAATTTCTTCGAGTCTGCAGGGAAGCATCCACATGCTGATTCTCGGTCCCTGACTTCTTTGCGGAGATCAGGCCAAATGACAGCTCCACATGCTGGGATGAAACACCTCGGAGACATGAAGGGAACTGGCTCAAACTCCAACTAGGGCCTAGGGCCAATTTCAGCTACAAGTCTTGGGACCAACAAACCTGCCAAGCCAAGCCACAAACAGTGCCTTTGGCAACTTTGGCAGTCCTGCCACCTGCCTAAAACGGCGTATATAAACACCTGTTCAACACTGTTCGTCCACCAACCCCGTGTAAACCACTCTTTCGCATCGCTTGCGCTAGACTCGGCTCTAAATCGTGTGGGCCCCGTGTGGGCCCCTTTCGCCCTGAATTCGGCCCAAGGGCTTGGGACCTCGTTGTGGTGAAACGTGGCACGGTGCGGCAAAAATGGAATACTGGAATGCCATGGAACGCCTATCTTGGAACAAGTGACAAAAGTGCCAGGGTGATTCATACCTTACAAGAACTTTGGCCAGTGGCTACGTCTATCTAGCTGCTGCATCCAAAGAAAAGTGTGCTTGTACTTGTGATGGGCTGTCACTGCGGATTGTCAGTGGGTTGCTGAGCTTCTTCCAAGCTCGCAATCTCAGCAGCCTGGCTCAGCACTCATATTCCGTGTCGCCCCCAAAGCCACACGGAGCTAAAGATGTATGAAGATGTCGGTATGTTTGTACTCCTTATCGTCGCGCTCCTCTTGAGGGAAGGGAGGGTAGCGAGATATCATTAAACCCTGTGCATGCCATGCCAGTGCATCACAATGGTGCGGGCATCCCTCGTCTTGGCGCCTCTCTTGCTTGTCTTTGTTCCTCTTGCAGCTGCAATGCCTTCTTCTTTTTGCGCTGCTGCCTCTTCAAATCCTGCATCTCCCGATGATACCTAGCAGGACCGCGACGGCTGTGCGGAGAATTCACAAGTATGCAGGGATCATCCGGGATCTCCTTTTGGTGGGTGCCATTAGGGGGAAATGGGGGAAGCTTTCACAGAAGCACGCCGCCACGCACGCGCTTCAGTATTACAGTATCTCTGGCAGATGCTGTGCCGCGGCACGGATGCTTGTCCAACTCCAGGAACTCAACAAGCACCTCCCCGACAAAGCTCATGTTGTCGACAATGCCTGGACACTTCGCCCAGTACCCAAAAGCCGGGGAAGATGAAGACTTACTGCTTTCTGAGTGGCGATGTCCAATGTTCCCGAAGAAGCGCACAATCTTTCGCGGCAAACCAGGGGCTTCACTTGCCTCTGCCTATTCATCGTTTTTCCGAGTGGCAAACGGGAGTTGTCGCAAACAGCCAGTTGCCATGCAGCATTGGAACACCGTGCCTCGCCCCCAAGCTGGCTGGACGAGGAAGTCTCTGTCACCTGCTGTGCTTCACAAAACCCTGTCGCCCTAGGTCTCCCAAAGAGGACCGCGTATCCCAAAAATGAGCCCGCCTGGCAAGGAATCCCCAAAAAAGTCAAAAAGTGAGTCTAGTTCTAGTGAGTGTCCGATAGGCGCGCATGGAACGGCTTTGAGGAAGTTGCTGCCTCAAGGTGGTTTGGTGCCGAAATCTCAGCCATGAACCTCCAGGTGATGCAAGTCATGTAAAAACTCCAGCCCCGCAAGGTGTAAGGGTGCAGACTTTAATTATATAAGTGCGCCCATGCTTCCTCTGGGAAAGTCTTGCAAAGGATACCGTCAGAGGAATGCTTCTATCCGAGCCATAGTTTCGCTACAGTAGCCTCCTGAGCACCAGGCGCCTTTCAAGGCTTCAGCGTGCAACTGTCCTATCTACTTTGAGCTGCAGCGGCCACCAGCCACCAGCCATGCATTTTGATCTACCTTGCTTATCTTCCATTGAAGGTGGTGTGGCTTCATCCATTTCTACTTGCGCCAGAACGTACGACGTACTTGAAGAAAAAATGAACGGAATGTGTTGGAGCCTGAACTGCCAGGAGATGGCATTGCCCAATAAGATCCTGGCTAGAATCCTGGATCACAACACAAGCTTTGGGCGCACGTCCCAGGAATGCAACCTCGGATGTCACAAACAAGGCTCGAGCAACCATCTCAGCAGGTGGCCAGCCTCACCAGCACGAATCACCACCTGAGCCCACATTACTGTGGTCATAAGTGGCTTCCAAAGTGCTGTATAAAGTTTCAAGCACAGCTGCCAGATTGGATCCTGGCCTCATGGACAGGCCCACCCCGCTGGGCTAAAGCAAAGCGCACAAATGCCGCCCCGGCACCTCACCCACACATGACATCTGAATAATGCCTGCTGAGGCACTCCCCCGCTACAAAGTGCTCCAATCCAAAAATATCAAAAGTCCGTAGAAGCTGCACTCTATTTTGCGGATAAAGAATATATAACGGTTCATATATGCTGTAAGCATATTGGAATCAGCTGCCGTAACTTGCTGCTATCTAGCAAACTCAACTAAGTGCAAGCCACTGATGTGGCTTGATGTGCACACCTTACATGACACAACACAATGTAGCGAGAAGTCGCTGCACAAGCCTGCAGCCTCCTCCAGCATTCTGCTTTCATTGCTGTGCACAGATATCCTATCTGTCGGCACGTCTTCTCTCTTTGGCGCGTCACTGCAGGCGCGAACCTACACTGAAGCTACGTTGGTATGGAAGGGGGCAGTTTGCCTTTGAGAGAAGTTGTGCAGGTAGGTAGGGTCCTTGATCTGAATTGTACAGTACTCATCTTGGCAGCACATTTGAGGAAGCTATGTCTCTCAGTTCTTGTTGACACTTGCCATATCTTTGAGTCTATATGCAGCTGTGTTCAGGAAATCCAGGCGAGCGACAAAAAGATACAAACAGCGACCGCACATTGAATTGAGCAGCGGCGGCCAATGGACAAACGTGGTCCGATCGTGCTTTGCGCACTCCTTTTCCGTATTGCGCGTGTCTTTGTCAGAGTGGTGACACCACTCTGTCTCTGCTTTTCGGGGAGTGCTCTCACCGAGCGGACGCCCCAGATCGATGAAACGCCCTGAGTCTGTCCCACAATAAAGGCTCTGACATGTCGATTCTAAAGCTCTCAACAAGGCATTTTCATGCATTTTCACCAAGACCTAAGAAAGGCCTTGACATGAACCTGCCAAGCGCATCCCGGCAGTGTAGCAAATGCTCTGCGCCATCACTCCTCCTGAGCAAAAGCAGCAGTAGCTGTCATAGCTGCAGTGACAAAATCTTCAAAGGGAATGACATGGAATAACAATGATGCTCAAGATTGACAATGGGTAGGACGGGTAGAAGATTGATACGATGCCGACCACACCGCCTTCACGACACCGACCTTGCAGCCACCGGGTAGATCTGAGGCACTGAGGGTCGACACCTGACCATGGCGCCATGCAAAAGTCGCAAGACCTTTTCGCAAGACCATGGCGATTGCAATGTCAGCCCTGTAGGCTTGCTCCAGCAGTGTGTCCTGAAACATGATCCAATGATGCGACATGGAGAGGGTCTGACCGGCTTTTGATCTGCAAACACTGGACAGGGTCCGGGTCAGAGGCCACGCTTGGCCGGCCCTGACAGGGTGCCCTGACAGGGTGCCCACAGCTCACAAACGCTCTGACAGGGTGGCCAATCTCTACAAATCGGTGAGCCGAACTCGGCTCAAGCACCAAGCCCCTGAGCATCAAACCGTTGATATTGATGTGCAAACTGAGTGTGCCAAGTGTTTGTTTGTGCGCCAGATGTGAGCCAGAAATCTTTACACTTGCACCATGTCTTCCACAGTGCTCTAAGCACTACTCCTGCAGGCCAAAATCATTGGACTACACAGTTCCCTTCATGCACTTCATACACTTCATACATATTCAGGTATTGGATCCTGGGATACGAGACTATCAGCACTATCCTCCACCTGCGTTGCCAGATGACCGGCCACTTGCAACTTGACAGGCTTGAACCCCTCGTCAGCTCTGTCAAAGTCACGTCCCATATGCGGGACGTCCGTGGAGGCTGACAACCCTTTCATCCTTTCCCCATAAAATGCAAGAACTGACCAATACTCGGGGCAGAAATGTTGAGACTTTGTGAGCAAAGGAAAGGATTGCCCCACTTTAGCAAGTGCACTACAAATATCTACAAATAAACAATAATCAAATTTGAAATTCTGGTTGCTCGCCTCAAGCGAGCTCAGACAAGCAGCAAGCAGCAAGAAGCTCAAACCTCTTCGGTCAGTCACCTAGGTGCCGCCTGCGCCAAGAAACTGTGCCGCATATATAAACCACTCCAAAGCCTGTTTCAAGCCACAGCCTTGTGTAGCTCGTTCGGCTGGGAAAATTGCCGCACGGCCCAGCTTTTGCGCCGAGCACATTCAAAAGTGCAAGATGGAAGCATGGGAAGGACTCATGGACCCAGGCAATGCTACTGGAGGTCAGTCTCTGGGGCATCTCGTGCACTAAGCTGTCCAGGAACTGCCTGGATGTCAGGAATTCAGAATTTCCCCAAATTGGGCACAAACCCTCTGTGGCTGGGCGGCCGTTCGTCAAAAACAGGCAACTGGTGATCATTGCTCCCATGTTTGTAACCCAGCTCTTCCATTGAAAAAACTCCTGAACGGCACTGCTCCACTCATTGGGGTGGACCTCCGCTGTATAAATTTGGGCCTGTCTGGCCGATGGGATCCCTATCGCCTATCGATCTCTTTGAGTGGCTGCACTTCCACCAGAGCCTAGGCCTCGGAAGAGTGGCGATCAGTCGAGAGGGAAACAAACATGCGGAAAATTGATGTCCTTGGCACCATTGATCAGCCCAGGCACTTAGGGTGCTTGGCCCTCGGCTCACCATGTCAAGCCTCAGCTCCGCTGCGGATTCGACCATGACAAAATGCAGTTGGACAAGTTTGGGCGGCTGCGGTTCAATATGGTTAAATAGCTTGAAAAAGACTTGACCCCAATCATCCCAAATGATTGATTAGATTCATATTGATTCAATCTTCGAACAATTCCACCCTTGAGCGTCCGTGCGTTCGAGGAGTTGCCTCTGCACTCGGATTTCCTGCGAGACCAATGCCGCCATGAACTCCAGCGGCCAAAGTGTGGAACGTGTGGAAGCCACAAAATCACAAATTCAATTTGCCTTATTTATGCCACCAGGGCATTGACCTACTTGAAACAAATCTGGCTCGCCTGAAACACCTCGAGCAGCAAGCACTTCCAGCGCAGCTGCAAGCACATTCCTGTCGGACTCGCACTGGGCCCATGTGAGACACGATGAGGTTTCAAAATAAAACCATCTCTCTCGCTCAGAAACAACGAAAACATGGCCTCTGTGCCAACAGCGGAGGCTCACACTGTGGCATCGGCGGCCTTAGGCTTCTTGGTATGCTACATTTTGGATGTTTGGGGACGAATTGGGGGGAGTAGCTTTGCCCAGTGTGCTCCAACTCCCACATCGCTCACCTTGCTGAACTGTCCCGGGCGCTATGTCACAGCACAAGTGAGCATAGTCAGCAACTACATGCTGGAGATCTACATGTTACAAGTGTGCACGTGTAATTGGTCGATGCCTTGGTACAGCTTCCCGACCGATTCATGGCCGAGCCAGCCAAAACAAAAACTTTAAAATGGCTTGGCTCGTGGCTCAGCGAATTGAGGATTTCCAATGGAAGGTGAGCCTCAAACTGGCTCCCAAGCCGCAAAGGAAAGAAAAAGCACAGCTGGCATCAGCTGGGGATCATGATGATAGTCATTTATAGCAAAGCACTCTTGAAATGATAAGAACTGACGGCAATATATATATATACATATATCAACGACATGTTCATTGCTTCATAGCCCTATTGAAATGTGTGTCGCCTTGTGTCAGTGCGGTCATGAGCTGCTGCTGTGTTTGCAGCCTCAGATGGATTTCTGCTCAAACATGATACACGTGCAACCTGCGGGTCTTCTCGGGTGTCCACAAGGGTGGACACTGTGGAGGTCTGTCAAGCGAGTCAAACGCACCTTTTCCTTCGCGGTTGCTGCTTGGGATCAAGAAGGAATTCATCGGACCTTATTGAGGCGGGCCGTCCAACAAAGCTGGCCACCAATCATCCAAAACTATCAAAACTGAGCTGATAAATTGCTGAGCCCAGTTCCCTTGTGGCTAGAGCAGGCATGCACTTCGATTGAACGAGATGCCCAATGCTGAAGCCTGTGGCAAAGGCTGAGATGTGTTTAATGGATCATGAATCATGAATGCATGAATGAATGCGGTCAATCAGTGTGCCAAGTTTATGCGAGATTCACTATCAGTGAAGCTTTCTAACCGCATCGCTTAACTCCCAGGCAACACAAGCACTCGTGGCTCCTTTTGTTGCATTTTAGCTTGCTTGAGTTGGTTCTTCAGACTCCTTGGGCTTGCCACTGCCGCGAACATAAACTCCAGGTGCTTGTTCCTCCCAGTCTCCAGGAGGCTTGGCAGAGAGGTCCCATCCAAATCCACCCTTCTCCTTGCTAAGGAACTTCTTGAGGAATGCGATATTTGTGAGGTTAAAGCGCCCACCAGAGCGGCTTGTGAACGTGGCACCGGTTAATCGCAGCTTGCGATCGTACTCGGCACGGCGCTTATCATCATTCAAAATCTCATAGGCAGAGGAAACGACCTTGAAGGCATTCTCAGCCTGCTTCTGAAGGTCAAAATCATCAAAGTGCCCAACCTTGTCCGGATGGATGCTCAAGGATACTTGCCGATAGGCAGAGCGGATAACGGCCCGATCAGCATCCCCACTCACACCCAAAGTTTCGTACAAAGTCTGGGCCTCACCAACCTTGTCGAGAACAAACTGAATGTTTCCTTCCCCATCCTCAACACGCCATGTGCTTGGCCGCACCTCCTCTTTGGGCGGCGGAAGTGCTTTTGGTGCCTCGACTGGTGGTCGCTTGATGTTTGCTGATGCTGGATTGCGGTAGTGGTACTCTCCTGGGCACAGGACCGGCTAGAGTCTAGAGTTTCACCCTGCTGACATCTGTTGACTGCCACTGCTACTGTGCTTAAATGAACTCAAGGGTCCCAAACTCTTATTGAACCGTCTCGAAATGCACAGAAACGCCTGTGCCAGACTCCTAGGACTCCTACCGTCATGCAGTGAGCATGTACTTTGGCATTCTAGGACCAAGCCGAGGCTCCTATAATAAAATGTCTCACACATGAGCAGCTGCAACGGCGGCAGGAGACCTCCTCCAGAGTGTCGCCAGTGCGGGGGCGCTCCCCATACTCAGCAAGGACGAAGCCATGGCAGGAGCAATCCATACAGCGGCCACGAAGATTTGCCAAAGGGTCAACGCCTCAAGCTTTCCACTTTAGCAAACTTGGCCATGAGGGGGGGGCAGTCTCGGTCAGCCTTTACAAATAGAAAAGCAGTGGGCCAACATCAACATCAATCAATAAAGAAAATGTGGCAAGAACCGGCATCCATCTGGACCCAGTGTCAAACCAAAAAGATTGCCTAGGTATGCCTAGGTGCAAAGGTTGCCTTCCTCTAACTTCTCGATTGTAGCTCCCGTTTCTGCCTCTTCCCAGGGTCCAGCTGCTTCAGCAAAGACTTCACCCCCTTGATCCGGTGGACCGGTGTAAACCTTGGCAGTTAAACGGAAGGTCAACTGGGAGTCGGAAGGCAGCTCGTGGACACGCACCATCGTCATGGTTTCTCTTTGGACGGCCACGTTGATTTGATCCTTCTCAGACTCGTCGGCCCACTCCACCTGAGGTCAGCATCGCGGATACGTGTAGGGTAATCCTAAACGAAAACGCTGGGATGATTGAGTCCCCTCTCAAGCTTCTAGAGAAGGATTTGGCCACTGCCCACCTGATATTCCACGTGCCTTGCAGGGAATTTGCTCCATTCGAGCACCACTGCCTCGGAAAAGGGCCGCACCTCCTTGGGCACTGGAAATTGCGCCTGCGCCTGCAAGCCAAGGCCCAAAGGGGTGGCATCGATGAGGATCCACCCGGCAGTCGCAGCCTTGGGTGAGCTGGCATTTTCAGCTAAGAGATGCCATGATTCCTGTGGCCATCCACTGATGATCTGCCCACGCTTCAAATGACCCAAAGTGCGGGAGCTGGTGGAAGGTCGCCGATGGATAGGGAGTTGAGACTTTAAGATCAAATAGTCCACAGGTTTGGTGTACAACACCTCCATTAATCCTTGCAGGGGCTCGCGGAGTCGCACTGCATCAGGCTCATCCTCCGGGAATCAATCCAAGCTTCAAGAAACATAGAAAATATGTTTGTTTGATCTTGTTCTCCTTTGGGGGCCAACATAAATATCACCACCTTTAGGTTGGGCCCTCGTCCTCACTATCTGGAACAGTTTCCTTGACCTCCTTGCCCTTTGCTTTGGCAACGGCCTTCTTCTCTTGAGTGCGTTTAGCTGCCTCGCGTTTCTTCTGCCGTTCTTCAGCCTCCTGTTGAGCACGCTCTCGAAGTTCAGCCGGTGCAAGCTCCTCTGGCACAAGCAGGTCAGAGGCAATGCCCATGCGACTGCCATCCATGAGTACCCAGGCATCAACGTATCTCGAGTGTGAATTCATGCTTGCTTTTGGCATGACATTCACCGCCTGTGCGCACTCCCTGGTCAAATGCAGCCAACGCCCCTCGCAGCACCCGGAGATCTCCGTGCCTTGCCTCACTGCACCGATGGCGTCTCCTGAAACGCTACGCTTGCTTCGCACAAAGACACGTGTATGTGCCACGAGGAACTTCCTGGCTTGACGACTGTCCAACAACTTCTCAGCCGCCGGCGTGCCTGCCCTGGTATGGGTGGCGAAGGGGTCTCCACATCGAATGCATTTGATCGTATCAGGATCAGCATTCAACCCAACTCGGTCCGGTTCTTGATCTGACTCTGCCTTCTCCTCCAGCCCCGGTCTCCAGAAGAAGCCATAGCAAGCACAATCTAGGCACCCAGCACGAGCAGTACCAAAGGGATCTAGTGAAGCCTCTGCGTCCTCATCATCTTCACCCTCCATGGGGTTCAAGGTCTGTGCTTCGACCCAAGGCCCTGCGAAGCGCACTTCGGCTGCCGCATCCACGCCGGGTGTCAAGGGTGCACGAAGGCGTACAGCCACGTGGAGTTCCAAGGGCTTCCCCGGTGGCATGTTGGACACCACCTCATGGGCTTTGTGGCACACAGCATGTCCAGAAGCTCCACTCTTCCGGCATCTCCACTCGACAATGTAGACCACCTGAAAATCACATGAAGGAAGGTGAAATGAAGACCATCAAGAACCCTGTACACTGAAGAGGACCTAGAATCCTCTCAGAACTCAAACAAACATGATGGCCCAAATGGAAGGTGATGGCGGAGAAAACGTGCCACCAGGTGAACACCGCCGGGCCTTCACGCCAGGCTTCAGCAGACCACCAAAACCTGGCCAAGCAACATCGATGGCTTCAAGGTATCTGGCACGAATCGTTGGCAAGAGGCATGTGAGGGCCAAGCTGCGACCAATATGGGCCCAGCCACTCATACCAGCCTGTGGCTGAAGCCGTAGCCAACCTCCTCCGGGATAGCCAAACAAGCGCTGCCCTCGAGCAAGGGTGCGAATCTCTTTTGACGAAGGATCAGGCTCAGAGTAGGTAGGCAAAGCCTCCTGGACTTCGTACTCTAGGGGCTTCTGCAGCAGTTGACTCAAAACATCTGCGGCTTTCTGCGCTGCGGCGCGCACAGCTTCAGGATCCAAGGGAGGCTTGTGCTCTCCTTCCTTTTCCTTTTCTGGAGGCTTTTCGTCGGGCTTGGCTTTGTCTCCCTCTGCTGGCTCTGCTGCTGTAGTTGTCTTCAACTGTTCTTCAGACGTCGCAGACTGCACGATTGGAGCAGCTGAAATGCCAGAAGGAGTGGATGCGCTGGCCTCCTCAGTCTCAGACAAAGCCTCAGGCTTTGACTGCTGCTTTGCTTCTTCGACAGGTGGGGGCACAGGGGTTGATGCCCCGTCTGCTCCTGGCTGTGGCTTCTCAGCTTCCTTCCCCTCTTTCTTTTCTACCTGCTCTGAGTTTTTCTCCTCCATTACCTCTCGTCTTGTTTCTTGTTCCTCGTCCTTGCTCTCTGCTTCGTTTGCATCTAGTTTGTGAGAATCTTTTTGGACCTGTTGTGCCTGTTCGGACTGCAGTTGGCCGTCTTTGCCCTCACGCGCCGCCGTCTCCTCATTCGTCTCCGTCTTCTCCTTCCCAATCTGCGGGTCCATCTTCCCAGTCACTTCATGGTTATCACCATGGCCACCATTTCCATCATGGCCATCATGGCTACTCTCCTCTTTGAGCTTCTCCTGTCTCTTCAAAAAATATTCGATCTCTTCATCTTCAGCTGCCCGAAGTTTGCTGCCCCAATCCTCCAGCAGCTTCTGCAGCGTACCCTCCTCCCTCCACCACTCCAGCGGGGCCATGGGGCGAGCCACCAAGCCAACACTTGTATGAACACGGGTGAGATGCAACGTTAAGACACTGTTAGTAATTGCTGTTATTCTTGAGGGTTGTCTTCACTCCGAAAAACGAAAAAAGTGGACTGACATCCACTTGGCTTTAGCTACGCGCTACAGTGCAGGGCTGCCTGGTCTTTTCTGGCTTTCCTGAGCTCTCGCTATGCCGCGTGTGTATTGCCGTACTACCAAATCCTGAGGTTGAGCGGCAGCCCAAATCACCAGGACTGCAAGAGTTTGTCAAGGATGATCCTTGTAATATACTGTAATTGCAGTTGTCCGTTTGCACTAGTCACATGCACCTGCTTCACCAGTCCAGCTGCATGTCGCGGCTCGGTGATCCTGGCCTGAACATATGGTGCAGGCTCTTGAGGATGCGCTCTGCATCCTGCGAACAAGCAGCTCAAATCCATGCTGCCTTGGGATGCCACTTGGTTCATTCGTGCCCCATCCTCTGGAACCAACGAACTCGCAGGCCGTTTCCAGCCAGCATCTTCTGAGTTGAAATCCTTGGCTCGATACGCTTGTGGTTCATCCAGCGTCAACAACATGCTACACACTACAGTCCTTCACTCTACCTGTTCAGCTGACCCGAATCCAGTTGAACAATCGCAAGTTGCGCAAGTGCAGCTTTTTGGTGCACCAGGAGCTTCTGAGGCTGGGTCTGCCCTCTTCGGGCAAGAAGGACACTGTACACTAATCACAGCCCAGGTGGCTGCAAACTGCACGATTGCAAGATTTGCAAGCTCTTGGCTCACTTCACTACCTGTCCAACAAGGGCGCCTGGACCTAAACCCTCCTGCGCCATTCTGCGATGGATCCAGTAGAAGTCTTCAAGCTGGAAGTTTGTTTCCTTTGCTCTTTGGTGCCTATGTTCCCGAAAAATCCCTCTCCCTCATCATCTCTCGCTAAACCTCTCCTATTGTTCTGCATTCTCTTTGTGTCATCTCTTGTCATCTCTGAATTCTCTCCGAAATGTTCTCAGGCACTGCTTTTGTTTGACCTCGTGGAAGATTAGCTCCTGATCCCTCCTGACGTCCTTAACCTCCATCAGTGCCTCCATGTTCCTCCCAATCCCACCTCTACCGGCGATGGTACCACCAACAGAGCCCAGCGCCGATCAGCGCAGCTTGGCCCCGTGGCACCACACCTCTCGCGGAGCTGCCGGATCTCCGGCGCGCGCTGCTCGGCGTGGCGGCCTTGGGAGCTGGGCCAAGGCGCTGTCGAAGCATGCAAGGGCCCCATGCTACACCAAACCTTTTCTAATTAGAAGCTGGGGAGTCATCTGAGATTCTGCAAACATGTCCAAATATAACATGTGACACGTTTAGGCGCTGCATCTGTTGTTTCCAATAATTTTGACTTGGCTTGGGGGCTGTTATCCACTTAAACCATTTGCTGCAAACATGCCCGTATCAGTGAGGACAAGCTTGCAGCTTCCCCACTCAATTCTCAGCCCTGCGGCCCTGGCCTGTCTCCAACATCGTTGCGAATGCATGGGCTACACCACTGCGCCAAATGTTGGCCCTTCCGGGATAAGTGTGGCGTGCCGCACGGTCTCGGGCTGAGGTAAAAAGTCCTCTTGCCAAAGCGCGGTCAGAGCAACTTGTGGGACACAGAGCTTGTTGTTCAGACCCCCTGCTACCTGTATTGTACAATCAGATTGGCCGTATACATGTATGTGCAGGGTCAAATTTATAACTCTGTCACCGCTGCTCTGAAAGATACCCTGCCTTCAGCAGTGATTGCATCACCGTTGGCATTGGTCCAGGTTGCCAATGCCGTCAAAGCACGGAACACCTCAGCTTGGCTTGGAAATCACCAAACAGCTTTCCGCCCAAGTGAGCACAATCAGATTCTCCCTTGATCAAGCAAGGGACTGTTGCCTGTCCAAATGGGTCTTTTGCCTCTCCAAATGGGTCTTCCGAATGCAGCTGGTCAAAGTGCTTCAAGGTCTTCACCAGGCACTCTTCAACCCAGTCATCTCTGAGGCCTGGAGGCTTCGGCCATCCATCCGATTTTGGGAGCATTTCAGTGATCTAGACTCTAGCCCGGCCTCCAACAAAAGGGACCCCGAAACAGACTTGTAGAGGGTGGAGGGCGGGTGTGTCTTGCACTGTCAGGTCGTCAGGAATTACTGCGAATTGCAATGAAAAACACGACTGGAACAGTCCACCTTGCAGAACGGCAAGCTCTCCCAGCGTACATCGCAGCATCACCCCAGTCGAGCCATCCAGCTCACCCACCAAATCGCTGCTCAAAGCTACGCTTGAGACGACACCTGATCATGCACCCCAAAAGAGTTCAATGGAGACTTTCCCTTCAGTCCAAGAAAAGAAGAGGCTAGAAAACAACCTGACACTAGTCATAGTCCCCTTTCAGGATTGTCATGGTGTCTTTCTTTCTTTCTTTCCTTTCCCTTCCCTTCCCTTCCCTTTCGTTGCCTTTCCTTCCCTTCCCTTCTCTTTCCTTCCCGTTCCTTCCCTTCCCTTCCCTTGCCTGTCCTTTACTTTCCTTGCCTTCCCTTCCCTTCGCTTGCCTTCCTTTTCCTTCCCGTCCCTTCCCTTCTCTTCCCTTCCCTTCCCTTCGCTTTCCTTCCTTTTCCTTCCCTTCCTTCCCTTCCCTTCCCTTTCTTTTCCTTCCCTTCCCTTCCCTTTCATTTCTTTCCTTTCCTTTCCTTTCCTTCCCTTCCCTTCCCTTCTCTTCTCTTCCCTTCC